CCCACATCCGTCGCCACCCATTCACCCATCCCAACTGCCAATCAATCAATCAATCAATCAATCAATCAATCAATCAATCAATCAATCAACCAATCAAGTCCTGTCGAATCTGTTGATTCGACAAGATCTTGACAATTCAAGATCCTGTCGAATCAACAGATTCGACAGGAATTGATTGATTGATTGATTACTTGATTGATTGATTGATTGATTGGTCGGTCGGGATGGATGGATGCGCCTCCACCTCCTCCTCTCCCTCCTCCTCCTCCTCCTCTATCGGGACCTCCGCCTCCTCTATCGGGACCTCCTCCTCCTCTATCGGGACCTCCTCCTCCTCCTGGATCCGGACCTCCTCTCCCTCCACCTCCTCCTCCTCCTACCCCTCCTCTGTCGGGACCTCCTCCACCTCCTCTTCCGGGACCTGCTCCTCCTCCTCGTCCTCCCCCTCCTCCTCCTCCTCCCCCACCTCCTCCTCCTTCTCCGTCTCGCCACGAAGTCGACTCCCCTCGTTTCAGACATCAGAACCCCCACTCTCCTCTTTTTTTTTAATATTATTATTTATTTTTTTTTCGCCCACATCCGTCGCCACCCATCCACCCATCCCAACCGCCAATAAATCAATCAATCAATCAAGTCCTGTCGAATCTGTTGATTCGACAGGATCTTGACAGTTCAAGATCCTGTTGAATCAACAGATTCGACAGGACTAGATTGATTGATTGATTGATTGATTGATTGATTGATTGATTGGTCGGTCGGGATGGATTGATGTGCCTCCACCTCCTCCCCCCCCCCTCCCCCTCCTCCTCCTCGTCCTCCTCCTCCTCCTCTATCGGGAACTCCTCCTCCTCTATCGGGACCTCCTCCTCCTGGATCCGGTGTCAGGCGGCCACAAGCAGTGCGCCGCCTGAGATCTGCAGTTTTGGGACTTAGGCTCAGGGACAAATCCGTGTTTTGATGGTAGTCTCGTATGACCAGGCAGCAAAAATTAGGGGAACTCAGGGCACTCCTGATTTTGGGCCCACTGAGTCTTATGAGTAACCCTCAAAGATGGAGAGATGGGTGGCCGCACTCGGCATGTCTAGGGACTGACATTTCCGACCGTTCAGAGGGTTAGACCCGGATTAGCCTGCCGCGGAGAGGCATCAAGGGAGTTGACCTCGCCGCAACGTTTTTGCAGCATACGACCGGGGCGAAATGGGGCCTCAATTTTTTTGTCTATTTTAGTACCGTAATTAAAGATGGGAAGAGGGATTAAGACCAGTAGGGGAGAAGGGAAAAACATAATATACCTTAATTTCTTTATTTTTCACGACATTTAATTCTAGGGGGAATACCCTTGTTATTTTATTTTTCCGACAATTAAATTAAAAACATAGAAAAAAAAATAAAAATCGTAAAAGAGAAAAGAAACAAAAGGAATTCGGCCATTTATTTAAACTTTCTCGGAATTGAATTTTATGGAAGTTACGGTTAATTTACTATTTCCGACAACAGAATTAAGGAAAGGGAAGAATGATTAAAAACGATGAAAGGGACGGAAACCCATGACTATTGGGAGATTGGYCTAATTTCGCCTTGATTACCCGCCATCAGCTCTGGCYCCGGATTGATCATTTTCCCCGGATTTTAGACAAGCCTTCACTACTGCCCATGGTCGAGGTTCCCTGCGTCGCTTTCCCTGGTTTGCTTGATTACTAACATTACCGCAGTTGGGATGTTCT